AAAAAATTTGATTGGCTTATGTCAAAATCGAAAAAAGACAAAATAAATAAAATATTACCGAGAGACTATTGTATAGAAAAAAATTTTGATGAAGAATCAATTACAACACAATTTCAAATTTTCCCGGAAAAATTCATGAATATTACAAATAATCCTTTAAAACAGACAAATAATAATTGATTCATTAATCTTAGTAATAGTTATATATTCCACCTATGGTTTCTAATCTAATTCAATTGGGAGACAATTTCAGCCTCCCTCCTTGTATAAACAAAAAAACATCTTCTCGCGAATTTATAAAAGACTTTGAAAACTACAACACAATTCTAAATGATAAAGCAAAATCTAAATTAAGAGACAACGTGATACAAAATCTGGATAAATTTTTACATAAAAATAATTCCCCTATCAGTGAAATAGATAGAAATTTAGTTAATATGTACAAAGCAATATGCTCCTTTTGTGAAATGAATCCTAACATAATTTTTACCAGAGTCGATAAAGGGAATTCACGGTGGCCTTAGACAGAGATGAATATATCAATAAAATCGGAAATTCATTAAAAGAAAATACTTACAAAAAAGTCCGATAAATAAAATTGAAAAAGAACTAAATAATATTGTTAAAGAATGGTATGAAAAAGAATATATTACCAAACAATGTTTTTACAAATTAAAATATAGTGATTCGACTTTGTCAAAGGCTTATGGTTTTCCCAAGATTTATAAAGAGAATGTACCATTCAAAATAATTATCCCTTCCACAAACACACCTTTATATGCGTTAGCATCGTTTTTACATGACATTATATCAAAAAGCTTATTACCTGATAATAAGTACGCTAAAAATAGCTTTGACTCATATAAGAAATTGGATGGTAAAAAGATTGACAGCTCAGAGATTTTAGTTTTCTTGGACGTTGTATCTATGTTTACGAATATTCCTATAGATCTTGCTATAGACAGTCTAATGAAAAGATAATCGGTAATTAAACAAAATATCAAAATCCTTGCGATGACTTTGTTTATGCAGTACGATTTATATTAGAATCTACATTTTTATCTTCAATGAAAAATTTATATGCAAACTTATGGAACTCCAATGGGTTCACCACTGTCACCTATTATATCACATATTGTTATGCAAGATCTCGAGGAAGATGCATTGAACACTTTGGGACTAAACATGACCTTTTACTTTCGATATGTCGACGATGTTATAATGACGATTCCTGAGAACTCAATAGATGATGTCCTGAAAACTTTTAATAGCATTCACTACAGACTTCAATTCACATTCGAAATTGAAAATCATAGATTGTTACATTATAGATTTACAATTAAAAGAATGACATCATTAAAGTGGATTGGTATCATAAAGACACTTTTTCTGGGACGATATTTATCGTATTTGTCAAACCACCCACTCACACATAAGATTGGTGTCATTTACAACTTAATAGACAAAGCTTTACTCCTTTCAAATTCTTAATTCCATTTTAAAAATTTAGAATTTTGCATCGAAACTTTTTTAAAAAATGGCTATTCAATGGAATTGATTTTTAGAGAAGTACAAAAAAGAATTAACAAACTTTCTATTACAAAATTAATTAATTTGAACGATTATGATAGTGATATTCAGGACATCACTGATGACACACTTGGTAAAAAATTATTTGTTGTACCATACATTCCAAAAGTTACAAATTGCGTCATATCAAATTTAAATAAGGATGTTTTTACTATAGGAATACATTGTATAAATAAATTAAATAGGTTTGTTAAAGTGCACAAAGACATAACAGATACAATGAGCAAAAATAACGTAGTCTATAAAATTGCATGCAAAGACTGCGATGCTTCATATATCGGTCAAACGAAGCGAAACCTTAATACTAGAGTAAAGAAACACGAGTATAATATAAGCCTAGTCGACACAAATTGAAAGTAACATAACGTCAATGTTATAATTTCGGACTCCACAATATAACTGTTATGTAACACTATGTGTTATATTACATTTATATTGTAGAGTATGAAATTATAACATTGATGTTATATTATTTTTAGTCTGTGTCGACTGGGAGGGGGAAGCCCTCCAAATATACGGTACTAACTAATTACATTCTTGAATTTAATCATTCCTTTGACTGGAAAAATGTGAGTTATGGACACTGAATCTCATTACAATAAGAGATTAATCTCAGAAATGCTTTTCATAAAAGAACAACATAATGGCATAAATGCCCAAAAAGATACAGAGAAATTAAACAAAACCTTGAAATTTTTGTTTACTCGAGAATGACTCTAACAAAAATAAATAAATTTCCTCGTCTTTAAGTTCAACAGATATCACAGTATTATCACTCGAGTTCTTTTATTCTAAGTTCTATCATCACACAGTTAGTATGGACTTTGGAGCGCTTTTGACAATTTATACAAGATCTCGGAACAACTTTTTTATATGTAAGTTTACATATTTCATTTTACATGATCATTACACATAATATTATACATTTAACACCATTAAAATTTGTTCCATTAGAGTCATGACGTTATTCTCTTTTTAAATTTTGACTTCACACGACGTCTTCCTTTTTTCGTTACTAAGCGGATAAAAGGAATATTATTATTAACATTGAGGATACAATTGTGACATTATCGAATTAAATCATAGGCCTGTTCTTTTTGGCTGAACTTTTACACTAGTTCATCTTTCTTTCTTTTCCCTCCAGTAGGAAAGAAGAGGAAGAAAGATGAACTAGTGTAAAAGTTCAACCAAAAAGAACAGGCCTTATGACTCCTGACTACATTGCATCATACTTTCTACATCATATGGTATCTTCTTAACTGACAGCGATAGTTTTAACTTATTTTGTTTTTTATAATTTAATGTTTGCGATAATGACTGAAGAGGACTACTGTAAGAGTCGAAACGTTTCGAATAGTATATGTGAATAACTTTATATTAATAAAATTAGTCATCTATTTTATGCTACTTATATTACCGTTTATTTTGTCATTGTTTTAAGAAATGATGATTTTAGCGAGAAACGTAAGTACATTCTTCATATAAAGATTACGAACTACTTTAGCACTATCCAGGATGCACCACGTGAAGGTACAGTCCGCCTAGCATCCCTTGACAGAGATCAGGATCCCACAGTTCATCACTCCTGTAGTATTTATTAGCGACTCAAAACCCTCTCTGCCATGCGTGCGTGCGTGCGTGCGTATGTGTATGCGTATGTGTGCGTATGTGTGTGCATGATAAGATGAAATGTGATTAAATTTACAATTCATGTGCATTTTCATCAGAATCTGATGACATTAATGATGATTTTTCCTCAAAATAACCATCTAAAAATGGAGCAGGAATCGAGATGTTCTCATATTGCAACACTCGTGTGTTTTTTTGGTAAAGCTCGATTCCAAGAGAACATCTCGATTCCTGCTCTATTCTAGAGATAAAGAAAGCGTTTTATACGTTATTTCAGTAACAGAAAGGATAAAGATGAGCAACGAGAATAACTTCTGTTTTAGATAACACTTATTTTTTATAAGACCTTATACGACTTGCAGACTTTCCGAGAATCAATGTATCTCGTAAATTTCAGAATTAAATAATTAAAATGTATCGCTATGCTGTACGAAAAGCAAAATTTTAATCGCGATCTACGCAGTTCTTTAATTCTTTTTGTCTCTCGCGAAGCATACTCGTTTAGTTTGCCGGGCGACGAAATTTCGAAATGTGTGTGTGTGATTTTACGAATACGTTTCTCAGAAATTAAATAGTCGATTTTCCATCGTTATTCCGACTGTTTAATCTTATTCTCGGATTTTTCCTGGTACAAAACTGAGCAAACCATCGCTTCTGTAGTAACGGAGAGTCGTTTTCACGATTTCACTCGATAGAGTCGGTGGGCAACTTCGAAACAGTAGCGATCCGAATAAAATTGATTAAATTAAGATTCGCCATAACAGAAACTTGGCTCTGCACGCACAGAATGTTTAAGAAAATATAACTTCATTTGTTCAATGTGTATCTTTTTTAAGTAATACAACAAAGAGAAAAAAATGAAAATAACTAATACAATAAAAACTTTCATATTATAATATATATATATTATACTTAATATATATTAGGGCTCTGATTTTATTCCGTTTTTCGAAGATACGTGTAAACGTAAAACGTTTATCCGTTTATATTCGCTTTCAAAAAAACGTTTACTTGAATACAATTACGTTGCATGTAAATTACATTTTTTGTTCATCGAAAAAAAAGGCTTTTCCATTTATTAAATTAGAATAATTTTTTTTATAAATATTAGGTGTTGAACTTAATTCCTGCCGTTTTTTCGTCTC